GTGTGTGTGTGTGTGTGTTCCTCCAGATGTGCCAGCCACATGTGGTCTGGAGTGTATGGAAGCTACTAAACTTAGATCATTCCTTGGTGTGCTGCTATGGGGGTGAAGAAATAGGGCCCCAAACATTCCTTACTTATGCTCACTGTGTGTGGCTCAGTCATCAATTGGGGGCTTGGTGTATGATCAGTCCCTCTGCCAAGTATGAAGGTTAACATTGATTGTCAACTTGACAGGGTCCAGAATCACCAGCGAGACTAGAGGGATGTGCCTATGAAGGATTATCTAGATTAAGTAATGGAAGTGGGAGGACTCATGTCAGTGCACCAGCATTCAGTACTCTCTTCTTCTTGCCTCTGGACAAAATATGACAGTCTTGCCTTACTGCCATGACAGACCATCCCCCATGAACTCTGAGCCCAAATAAACCCTTAGATTGCTTTGATGAGGGATTTTTTTTTTTTTCACAGCAACAAGGAAAGTAAAGAACACATCAAGGTTGAGGAAGAACTATGTCATGGTTAGATTGAGGCACAGGTTCTTAAAGCTGGGCTGGGTATACTCTGGACCACAGTATCCCTCCATCATGCTTAAGGCATCAGGCTCTAGCTCTATCACCATCGAGAAAGAAGAAAACAGTGACATCGTATTACATCCAGATACAGAAACACTGCAACAACTCTTTAAAAGTGTTTACTAGCACAATACAAGTAACAAAAGAGGAATAACAAAAGAATAATAAAACAAAAACATTTGAAAGGAAATGAAAAATGGAGGAAAAAAGTTTGTTTTTGAGACAAGACTCACTATGTAGCTCTAGCTGGCCCGGAACTTACTGTGTTGTGGTTGTTTGAAAGAAAATGACACCCAAAGGGAGTGGTACTATTAGGAGGTGTGGCCTTGTTGGAGTAGATGTGGCCTTTTTGGAGGCAGTGTGTCACTGTGAAGGTGGGGCTTTGAGGTCTCCTGTATCCACTGAGACAGCCCACTTCCTATTGCCTGTGAGTCAGTCAAGATGTAAGAACCCTCAGCTACCTCTCCAGCACCATGTCTGCCTGCATGGTGCCTCGCTTCCCACCATGACAATAATGGACTGAACCTCTGAACTATAAGCCAGCCACCACAATTAAATGTTTTCCTTTATAAGAGTTGCCATGGTCATGGTGTCTCTTCACAGCAATAGAAACCCTAAAACAGAAGTAGACCAGGCTAACCCCCAACCCCCGAAATCTGCCTGCCTCTGCTTCCCAGGTGCTGGCATTAAAGGTGTACAAAGCTGGAAAGTAAAATTTTAGAAGTGATAAATGAAAAAAGAGAGAAAAAGAAGACCAAATTAAATATAAACACCACAGAAATATGTTATCCTTGGCCTAATCCTTCGTTAGCATTCCAGAGAGAAGGAAAGATGATTATAAAAGGAAAATAAGGAGAAATGATCCAATTATAACATTTTAGAGGCAAAAATTACATGTTAAAAGGAAAAAGCATGAGCAGAATTGAGGTCCGTCCAGGCTCCAGTCTGCCTGTGGCTTTGGGTTACTGTCTGTATCAAAAAGCTTTGAGTTTTTACCACCAGGAGAATGCCGTCTTCTCTCAAAGGTTTCCTCTCCCACACTGATGGTCTTGGCATTTCCAGGAAAAGCAGGGATGGAGGCGTCATGAGCTGGTGTTCCAGCTGAGGCCAGGGCTATGACAGTAACTGATAGAAAATCCAGGATACAGAAAATCCAGAATACAGCGTAGCTACCTCCAGAGACTGGGTTTCACCAGCAATCGGGTGGGTTGCTTAATAATGATACAGAAAGAGAATATTTTAAATGTGTTCATATATTACACAGAAGCATGTATTTGTTTATATTTAATATAATCTATATATCAAGCTTAACAGCGATGTCGTAGTTTCGTTTCCTGATACTGTGATAAAATACCTAACAAAAGTTACTTAAGAAAGAGGGTTTGTTCTGGCTCACACTTCAAGATTCCTGTTCACCGTGGCCTGGAAGTCGCAGGGGTAGGAGTTTGAAGCATCTTGAATGTACAAACAGGAAGCAGACAGTGATGGATGATGCCTGTGCCGCCAGTCAGTTCTCGTTCTTTGCTTACACAGTCTAGGACACCAGGCATGGAATGGCGCCACACACAGTGGGCAAGCCTCCCCACCTCAGTTAATTATAGTCCAGGTAATCCCCAACAGGCATGCCCAGAGGCCCTGTCTCCCAGGTGACCCTAGATTCTTTAAGGTAAGCACTGAGTGAGTGAGAGAGAACAAGAGAGCTCACTGTCTCTCAAAATCTAATAAGACTTCCCATTTCCTTTCCTCCAAGGTGGCTAGTTGAGAAATCAGAAGTAGATGTTTTCAGCCTTTGTTGAGCAAGTCTTTTCGTGCCCTCTGACGAGAGCACAGGCCCTTTGTTACTCTTCCTTTTCTTGAGTTTTGCTCACCTATCAATCAAAGGGGATGGTTTGTGAGGAGATCCAGTTATTAACCCCTCTGGGTGGCCCCACTGCTTTCCCTTTCTCTGTTCATCTTAAGGCAGAGCTGACCTCTCTGGCACCTTCGTTGATGGTTTGAATGACAATGTCTCCCACAGGCTCAGATGTTTGATTACTGGATGCCCGGTTGGTGGAACTGTTTGGCTAGGTTTAGAAAATGTGGCCTTGCTGGAGGAAGTATATCACTAAGGGCAGGCTTTCAAGTTTCAAAGCCTTGGGCCATTCCAAGTGCACTCTGTTTCACACTTGTGGTTCCAGATGTGCGCCTTCGGCTTCCTGCTCCAGCCGCCATACTTGCCACCTGTCACCCTCTGGGACCGTAAGCCCAGATAAGCCCTTTCTTCTGTTCAGGGAACCTTGTTCACAGTGTTTCATCACAGCAACAGAAAACTAATGAGAACAGGTGGAGTCAGGGAGAGTATGCTATGGTGGAATTGGGTCAGTCCCCCATACTTGATGGAGAGTGAGGGCTGTGCTGGATTTCACTGGAGCTCTAACCCCTCTCTGATATTCCAAAACGTAGCTCCCAGTGTTTCTCATGCAGCCATGTGCCCCCCTCCCCAACCTTTGTTCCTCTTAGCAGTCTCCCTCAGAGTCTCTCTCCTGTTCTTAAACTAGCTCTGAAGGCTGATGCCCAGGGTGTGTGCATAACCTTTGTGTGGGTTCCTGGATTCAGAAAACCGTTAGGACTCTCCATGCAGTAAGCTCAGACAAGATACTCTCAAGTGATACTGCACTGCGGAATCCTCCTGTCTTGTGCTATTCAAGATTCTAGGTCTCGTGTGTAAGCCGCCTTTCCTCCCAGTGCCGAGGCCTGTGCTAACCGAGCTTTCTTCGTCTGTCCTTCGTTTTTGACCTGTACCCTACCCCCAGATGCACTGTGGCGTGTTTGCCTGAAGCATTTTTTCTCATCCTTTGCTCTCGAAAGCTTCTGGGTTTTGTCAGGTTATCTGTTGGGTTCAGTGATACTTGTCATACAAGCCTGTCCATCCGAGCTCAGTCCCCAGAACCCACAGTGGAAGGGGAGAACCAACTCCCAGAAGTGGTCCTCTGACCTCCACGTGTGTGCCATGGAGTGCATGTGCTTCTACTTATAGACGCACACAAGGACAGACACACACCATAAATAAATAAAGCAAGTGTTAGCATTTCATGTCATAAGTGCAGGTACTTTATGATAATAGTTAGGTATCTCTACTGTCTTCTTGTCCCTTCTGGTATTGCTGTCATTCTCCTTTTTTCTGCATAAGCACATATATGGAGACATACATAGTCACATTCACTCTTTCTGTTATTTAAACTGTTCATTAAATCACCTAGCCAGCAATTAAAGCAAATGAACTAGGAATTCATTCTACTTTCACCTATTTATTTTCCAACGGGCCTCCTCTATATAGACACACATTTTCTAGAAGGCTGGTAATTAAACTATTGTGTAAAATTAAACCTAATAAAACTGAAGGATGTTTGCCTACCATGCACTTGGGTCTGGGACCCATCCCCAGCACTACTAAGAAAAAGCTTGGAGGAGCATTGCAGATCTTAATAGACTACCAATAGACGTGGATTGGCGTACAGCTTAGATACTGGACAGCTAAAAAATCTTTTCAGTGTGTTCCTAACAAGGACTTTTCTTTTTTTTTCTTTTGGTTTTTCGAGACAGGGTTTCTCTGTGTAGCTTTGCGCCTTTCCTGGAGCTCACTTGGTAGCCCAGGCTGGCCTCGAACTCACAG